CTCCCCTAGAGGTTCAAGCAGCAGGGCGCTGAAGAAGCGAGCCACTCCCCCATCGCACACCTGCGAGGGGGACAAGGGAACCTTTCCCGTCTTACTGGGATGATGGAGGAGTCAGAGGTCACCCAGTGTTGAGCTTAACGGAACTAAAGGTCAAAGCATAAAGGACAGATGAATCTCAGTTCTAAAAGTAAGACTCTCTTTTTCCTGCCTATGAGCTTCATATCAGAATAGATGTCTCTTTAGTTGGTTAACTGAATAAAGCTGGGGAAAGTGGCAAATCCTGAAAAAAATAAGATCTATACTTCTTTAAAATATTTTCACACAATGCATGGAACTGTACAATTGTTTGTCAATGTTTTCAGTATGGGTTTCGTAACTGAGGTCTACTCACTTTCTCTTCCATCAACCACAGCCACAGTATGGTACTCAGGAATCAGAGTTTTAGGGGGTTTTGTTCATGTTTTTAAACAAAGCAACTAAACCAATAATTCCACTACAAAATTCTCCAATAATTATACCTAGTTCTCTACGGTTGCTTTAGCTACACTTAAAACAAAAGAACTTTTTTTAGTGTGTCTATTAAGTAAACCTACTGCTTTCAATTTAGTTTTCATAGAAATAACCCTATTTTGCCCTCTTATCTCATTGACTTATGATGCTTTCTTGAAGCACCTAAATTCAGTAACACACACAACTGGCATAAGCAAGTTAGGAATTAGACACGCTGACTCCTGGCCGACCAGTACCTTCCCTGGTAGGAACAGACGTGGCTGGGAATGGAGAGGGACTGACCCCATACACGGTCACATGCCCTGGGCTGTGGTCAGCATGTGCAGAGGGAACAGAAAGTCAATGTGGGGGGGGTTGCTATGTGAATATCGACCAAGGAACCCTCCACTAAGTTATTATTATATGGTACACAGTGGGATCCTGCCACGCTCATGTGATTACTAAGTCCAAATGTATATACCCAAAAACAGAGAGAGAGAGAGAGAGAGAGAGAATGAATGTAATTTGAACTGTTCAGCTAATTCAAGTCAAGAAGCCCAATCCTCCAAATGGAGAGGAGCTGTCCCTCCTTTGTCTGTCCAGGGGCTGAACATCTCACCATCCAGAAACTGATCTTGATGTTTAAAATTAAGTTTTTCATTCAAAATAGCCCTATAAAAAGGAAGCTACTTCATCTGATACTGGACAGAAAACAAAAGCAAAACACTGCAATCTGCTCTAATGCCAGGCAAATGGTGCTGTTCAAAGGCCCTGAGTGTAAACCTAATCCCTGAGTGATGTAAACCTAATCCGAGTGATGTAAACCTGATCCCTGGCTCAACTGCGTTGTCCGTATTTTTAAAACCCCCGCATATTGTGTGTTACCATCCCACTGTGCCACATTCTGGGTGTTAAGGACCCAACTCAGGCCAGGCGCGGTGGCTCAAGCCTGTAATCCCAGCACTTTGGGAGGCCGAGATGGGCAGATCACGAGGTCAGGAGATCGAGACCATCCTGGCTAACACGGTGAAACCCCGTCTTTACTAAAAAATACAAAAAACTAGCCGGGCGAGGTGGCGGGCGCCTGTAGTCCCAGTTACTCGGGAGGCTGAGGCAGGAGAATGGCGTAAACCCGGGAGGCGGAGCTTGCAGTGAGCTGAGATCCGGCCACTGCACTCCAGCCTGGGCGACAGAGTGAGACTCTGTCTCAAAAAAATAATAATAAAAAAAATAATAATAATAATAAAAATAAATAAAAAGGACCCAACTCAGAGCGGGACAGACTTGTGTGGGAATCCTGGCTCTCTCCTTTGCTGGATGTGTGGCCTCTGCTGGATGTGTGGCCTTTGTCAACTGTACACCCTCTCTGCGCCTCAGTTTCCTCAAGTAAAATGTGGATGATAATAGCACGTACCTCACTAGGCGAAGATTAGATGAGATAATCCATCTAAGGCCTTTAGCACGAGGCCTGCCACACAGTAGGTGCACAATAAATGCTGTGGTTATTAACTTCAAGTTTACAAGATGGACTCTGCAGTAAAGGATGCAGAAATGATTATTTAATTTGTCATGCCTTGTTCCAAGGCTTTTGTGAATAAAGCACTGCATTTGAAGGCTTTTGTCAAATACTTTCTCATCTTCCTCATTACTAGGACCCTGGATGCAAATATTTCTTCCTGTTGAATGTACATTTTTCTTCCTCTCCTGGCTGCATTAACCTGTCTTTTTTATCACTTCAGTCCTAATGCTTCAACCTAGACTTTAGAAGAATAACAGCAACAGGAAGTATCATTGCATTTTTTCCTTCAGATTAAAATTGATTTTTTGATTTTATACAATCTTGCCTTTCACACATGCCTATGGGTCATTAACATTTACTCAGAACATCTGTTTCATTTCTATACCCCATTTCCTCTGCCTACCAACTGGAAGAAAAATCTCCTGAGTTTTCCATCAACCCCCTTTAGGTGATTTTTGATTTATCCCCAAGTGAGAGCTGAAATTGCTCAGCCTTCCCCAGTGTTCCCTCAAGCTCTTACGTCAGCCAACAGCAGCTTTCTCTCCCTCCTCTTTGCCTTCTCTTTCTCACACTTGCTCACACAAAGCAAACTTAACCCCATATGCAAGGGGACATCTCTCTAGGATCTCTGTCTTGGCCCAGGTTGCTATAAGAAAATATCACAGACCGGGTGGATGAGCAACAGCAATGTATTCCTCGCAGTTCTGGAGGCCAGAAGTCTGAGATCAGGGTGCCAGCAGGGTGAGGCTCTACCAGGTTGCAGACAGCAGACTTCTCACCATTCCCTTGTATGGTGGAAACTTGCCGGGGCCTCTTTTATAAGGGCACTAACCCTGCTCATGAGGATTCCACCTGCACGACCTCATCACTCCCCAAAAGGCCCCACCTCTTAATACGATCCCCACGGTGGTGGTTAGAATTTTAACTTACGAACCTAAAGAGACACAAACATTCAGTCCACTGCAGAACCTAGTTTATAACACTGGGGCAAAGTCAAAATAAAATACGCCCCTCCTGGTATTCAGACGGTGCCGACTTCATCCTGCCACCATCCCACTTTCTCTGCTCCCCGAGCCTCTGACATGTGAGATGGTTTACAGGACTTGATCTTCCCACTGATGCTCACACCGAGCATCCAGGGGAGGGCCTGGCCCACAATCCACACTCAGGAAAGATCAGGTGAAAGAATGAATGTCACAGAAGTGGAGGACGGGCCCAGGTACCCAGAACCATTCCGTCATGTCCTTGTCACAGACACAGACTTGTACACAGGCTCCAAATCATCGTAAGCACTCAATGTGGGCTCTTTCCAGGAAGTCGTCACCTGCCACAGGTCACAGACAATGTTCTAGGATCCACACCAGAGCTGGTACAGCTGGTGATCACCAGGGAAGCTGAGAGAAATTGCCCAACTACTCTATAAATAATGGTGTGTGATTCAGACCTGCCAGTGAAAAAACAAGACCCCCTCCCTGAGAACCTTTCAAAAGCATAAGATCACAGCAAGCAAAGCGCAGTTTCTTAAAATCAATCTTTCGATGTATCATTTCACAGTTAGGACACAAAAAGCACAAACACGACATTCTCGATAGAAAATAAAAACATTTCAGCAGATCACACACTTTCCAACCTGTTCCTTTGCCCCAGCACTTCTAGGAAGCCGTTCTGCTGATCCTCTGCCAAGTCTGCTAAGCAAATGGCAGAATCAGTACTCTGCTAAGTGGGTAATTAGCTCTCAGGATTCCACTTCACAGTGGTGGTTATTCGGGGCTGACTCACCCTGTTCTCCCTTTCAGGATACTGGTGAACACTGCCAGCGTTCTCTCCTGGGCAGCTGGATACATCCTTCTCACCACATTTGTTTCTATTCTCCATCCTAAGGCCAACTCTCCCCACCCAATACCTTGCACATACACCCCTGGCCTCAGGTGGAGCAGCCTTCCAGTCTCTGCAAGCTGAAGGGCAGCTTTCCTTTACTTCCAGAACCATAACCACCTGTATTACATTCCCACTGCTGCCATAACAAATCACCACAAACTTACTGGCTTAGACAACACAGATATATTTTCTTGCAGTTCTGTAGGTCAGAAGTCTGATGTGGACCTCACTGGACTAACATCAAGGTATCCACAGGCTGTGTTCCTTTCTGGAGCCCCTAGGGGAAGATCATCTGCTGGTGTACTCAGGTTGCTGGCAGAATTCCCTTGTGGTTATCGAACTGAGATCCCTGTTTCCTCGTTGGCTGGCTGGCTCAGGGCCTTCCTAACTTCAAGGGGCCATGTGCATGCCTTGGCACCCTCCTCTACCTACTGGGCCAGCAATAGGGTAAGGCTCTCAAACAATCTCCCTTGCTTCTGGCTCATCTCTCTGGCCAAGCTGGGAAAGTTATCCTATTTTAGGGACTCACGTGATGACACAGGGCTCACCTGGACACTGGGCTCACCTGACAACCCAGGATGCTCTCCCGATCTCAGGGTCCAAACCCCTCATCTCATGTGCAAAGCCCTTTATCCTATGTGAGGTGACATATTCATAGGTTACAGAGATTAGGGTCTGGGCATATTTGGGGCCATTGTTCTGCCAAACACACCATGATGGACTTGAATCAAGGGTTGCTCAGAGCAGCAGCTGGGTGAGCTCGTCTAAGGACAGCGCAAAGCCAGGGTGAGAAGGGGGCTGTAGACTGAGCCCCAGGATCTTCACCTTCCCACTCCTGCCTACGACTATGCTAATTTCACCACTGACACATTCCATTAGGGAAGGAATTGCAGTATTTTAATTGTCTATTAACCAGAATACCTTTGACAATTCCCAGGCATGGTCAAAAGTAAAGTTGAAGAAATCCATTTACTAGTGAGAAGCACACACTCTGCTAACTCACAAAGCACTGAAATAAATTTAACTAAATTCTGCAATGAATTCACCATCAGCGCAAACCAAGCATGAAAATTTAATTCTTAAGAGGAACCTTTTAATAAAGTCATGTGTGGCTGAAAATGAGGTGGCTAATGAAATTATTTTGAGGACAGTGTCTGAACATTTTACACACAAATCCTGCTCATTGGAAGTTATTTGAATATTCCATTGCCAACAGATGATAGAAAGAGAGATTTTCTAATGCTGTAAGGCAGGAATGAAAAGACCCACAGAAGACATCCGCAGTTTGGGGCAACTGAACTGATGGAATATTCACAGCCCGTCGTCCTGGGGCTGCCAAGGAAGAATTTAGATAATGTGACTCTCGAGATTTTACTGGTATTTTCCCAATTCTGGAATGTTTTCCTTTTATAAAATCCATGAGTCTACAGCAGTGCTGCCTTCATGTTCAGGCCAAAAACTGTAGATTTCATCCATTACCTCCCTCATCATCTCACACCCCATGTCTAATCTCCTGTAGGTCCTACAAGGTCTGCCTCTAATATATATCATCTTAGTTTTTGCCCCCCAGGAACAAGCAGGCCTGGGACCAAGATTCAGGACTAGCAGTGTATTTGCTAGGTGACCCCAGGAAACACTGGTAAGAGAAGGGAGAATGAGGCAGGATGAGGGGGCAGTTAGTAAACAATTTGTTTTCAAGTGTTACCTCTGGGGCAACCAGAGCTTTATCCCACTGGGAAATCTGAGAATCCAGGCAGGACATACGCCTCAGAGTTATCCTCCCCCTAAGGATGAGGGAGTTGGGGTACTGATATACCAATTCCCATCAGTCATCAGTGGGAGGCTGTTCCCGGAGGGTGTCAAATGCCCGCACTCTCTGTTCGTCATGCAAGTGAGGGCGTGGTTGGAGGAAGGTTTGGAGAGTAATGGGCTTTGTTCACGACCTTGACTGTGATGACGGTTTCATGGGTGTGTGCATGTGTCAAACCTTATCAAGCTTTATCAAACTTAATGTGCAGATTATTACATATCAATTACCCTTAATAAATGTGGTTTTGAAAAAACCCCAAGGGCTTCTCATGGGAATCAGAATAGAAACCTAAACCCCTTACTTCAGGCTGCTGCTCCTCATAGGACCTGGCCCCACGTACACTGCTTTCCACATCTCTAATGAAAATTTCTCTTCTCTCCACACTCCAGCCCAGGTCCCACCTTAGCTCGTTTGTTCTTGCCATTTGCTCTTCCTGTAATACTTTTCCCCAACACCTCAGCTTCACTGAACTCCCAGAAAGCTTCCCTTGACCATTCTTTCTAAATTAGCATGCATGTACACACACACACATAAAAACACAAACACCTACACACCCCTCCACACTTACGGATACACATAAACCCCTATAAATTCACATATACACACACACACCTACTTACAAGTCCACCCACACAAACTGCATTTATGTTTGTATATAAACACACATCTACACACTTACACACACATGCACAGACACACTCCCTACTGCTACCCTGCAACACTGTCCTCAGAACACACATCACCACCTGGAATCATTGTGTCCATGATTCTGTTACTTGCTTATTGTCAGCCTCTGCCCCCATAACATTAACTCCATAAGGGCAGAAACCGTATCTGACCTGTTGAGTGTCTCATTCCCACTTTCCAGAACATTCCCTGGCATGTGGTAGGTGCTCAATGAAGAGCTGTTGGATGATAAATGAGGCTTCAACAAGGTCCAGGAGGGTACCAGTGACCCCACACCCTGGGGATGAATGGGATGAACCACATCCATTCAATACCATCCTCATGGTTCCCAGTGTCTTTCTTTTCCAATTCTGTGTACCCACCAATCACAGTATCCTAAGGATATGCGCTAGTAGAGAGCTGTCCTGTCTTCCCCATTAAACACAAGACCATGGCCAATTCTGGAACTTAGATTCTTCACCTGTAAATAGGGATAACATCATACCTGTCCTATAGGCCCGTGTGAGGATTCACTGAGACCAGGCAAGGCATATGAGTGCCTGGTGCTCCAACACACGGGAAGTTCTCACCAATATGGGTCATTTCCACACATCAGTCTGAAGCCTGTTCGTCAGCGTTTGTGGGGTAGATTTTCATGTGATCACTCTAGGCAGGGAGTGTGCACCATCCCAGTGATTAATGGAAACCACTCGTGTTAACTTATAAATGTAGACACTGACCAGTGGCAGATGTCGAATGGTTCTGTGTAAAGTCTGAATGTGATTCTGAATATTGGTTTTATTTGATCTCTTCTATTTCTACAATGTATAGCTTTAAACATGTATGTCTTCTTTAAAATTCATACAGTGCCAATCAGTGTTATAAGATTTGTTTTTCTAAACTTTTAAATTAATGAAATAGTTGTGTACCTGCCCCTCAGTCTTATTGACCTAAGTACAGGTCTAACAGATTTAGAGAGCACACACTCTGAGCCTAAGATCCCCTGTTTATAAATTGTGAACTCTCCATTCAGAGGTGATAACTCATTAGAGATGCTCTAACCCATGTTCATGAGCTTTGAAAAACCATCTGAGAGCCCAGAGGAGAGATTAATGGACAACAACGCTAGAACGAAACCCCAATTCTATGGCATAAACAGGAGAAATTGAAACAAAATATAAATAAAATATTTAAAAAGTAGTTGGAAATAAGAATAAACAGAATGATAAGGAGAATAAATCAGAATTAATGAAACAGATGTACCAGTTGCAAATAATAAATGAACCCTAATCCTTGCAAAAGAGGTTGTTAGAGGGAATAAAGGTGAGTGACAGCTCTGGGCCCTGGAATGCGAGATAACAGAACAACAGCTGGACCTGGGCAACAGACAAGCCAAATGTGACTAGAAAGAAACTACGTCTGACTGCTGTCCAAGACTGCTCTTCTGTTACAAGAGCTGCCTTTGGCTAATCCATGCAAAGCAAAGGTTTCAGGCAGTAACAAGCAATCCCCAACTCTCCAGGGCTTAAAAGGCCACTGTCAGTTTCTTCCCTGTGCCGTGTCCATGGCAGATTCACAGGGATTCTCTGCTCACTGTAACCACTGCAGGCCCCTGCTGCTGCTGCCCTCTGCGTGCCAGAGGGAGTGGGTTCTGGAGAGACTCACCACTCAAATCAAACGCTCTGGGATGGAAGCCTCAATTCACCCACGATGCCTCAATTCAACAATCCCATTCTTCCAGGTGGGGGTGACTGACTCCCATACACGGGGAAAAAGCAGTCTCTGCAATGGGGCCACACTCTGCGTTGTGGGGACAGAGGGGGAGCAGCAGGGTTGACTGGGGGTCTGGAGCAGCTTCCAGGGAGCTCAGGTGAAAAGAGCCTTGAAGTTGAACGGTATCTCAAGGAAGGCCCAACCTCGGATGTTTCTGGAGGCACATGGAGGTCTGGGTGCTGTGCAGGGCTCAGCCTTGGCCATTTCAGATTCCAGCTCCTTGACTGCTGACGTGGATTCCCTCTCTCCCCCTGCACTAAGGGTGGACCGCAGGGCCGTGGGGTCTGTACCCTTTCTCCACCACTGGACAGACCTGTCAGCATGGGCGAGTGGTCCACCCATCTGGACACAGGTGCGGGGCTGTTGTCGCCCCATCTTAGGCCTTGTTTCTAGGAGACGTTCCCACCAGAGAGTCTCTCTCGTCCTTTTCCCCGGGTGATTCAGGAGCTCCGGGTGTCATCAGGTTGCATTTCTCATTCCCAGATCGAGCGGAAATCCCAGGCCTGGAGCCTCCTGCCGGCGTTCACGTGCATATCTGCAGCTGATACCTTGGGACGTCTGCGTGATGTCAGCTTCCAAGTTCACGAATCAGACAAATAGATTAAAAATTCAAAATCCACTTGGAACTCCCAGACCTCTGAAGCTCGGTGTGTTCTGCACTCAATGACCACAGAGCCCGGGTCCTGGCGCGGATGCTGAACACCTACTCCTGACAGCGCCGTCCAGAGACATGCGGCCCGCGGCGGGGCTGCGGGAGCCGAGGACCCGCGGGCCCGGAGGAGGCGCAGGACGAGGGGCGCCGAGCCCCACCAGGACCGTCCCGCCGGCCTGAGCGCGGTGCCCGGTGCCCGGGCAGGCGTGAGGAGCTGAGCCCCCGACAGCAGTCCCTCTCTTCGTTCCCAGTCCCCATGTGGGACCTCGGGGCACAGACTCCACATACGCGGAGGGTCTCGCTCCCTCCTTCCAGGACCGCGGGAGTTTCACTCAGGAGCCCGCCCACCCCTAGCAGGGACCCTGGCACCCCCACTGATGCCCTTGGTCTCTGGAGAGGCCTGCGGTCCCGGCTGTGGTGCGAAGCCACTGTATTCTGGCTCTGTGATTGGTGCAGGGCTGGTCACATGGCCTGAGCAAGTCCAATCAGAGTGAGCATCAGGGTTTGTCCCCTGGCCAATGAGAAAGGCTCTTACACTTTCCACGGGTTGTGCTCCGGACCTGTGATTGGTGCAGGGCTGACCACAAGGCCCAGCCAGTCCAATCAGAGTGCAGGCCAGGAGGAGCGGGAGAGCCTCTCCTATGAGAGGAACTGGAAGGGACTGTAGCTGCCATCTTGCCCTATTGAGGGGCCCCTGAGGGGCACTCTGAGGGGCGCAGGCCCTAGATTGGGTCATTAGCAGGGCCAGAGCAGCTGAAGGCCCAGATTTGAGATGGAAAACAACATCACTGGAGCCCTGGATCCAGCCGAGCCTGCAGCCAGGCCTGTGCTGCAGTGTTGCCAAGGCCAGGTCCCCTGCTCGCTTTTATTTCCTTGAGCTCATTCGAGGGTTTCTGTGGCTTCCAGCCCGAAGAGTTCTCATCCACACAAAGCCGGATCAGGATCCAGAACCCGGATCTCCCCCCTTCCCCCTCTGTCGTCCTGAGCCTGGGCTCATGGCCTCAGTTTCCCTGGCTGTGAAAGGGGCCGGGAAAGGGCGGGCGTCAGGAGCACGAGGGGCCTCAGGGCAGCGCGGGTGGCCCTGGGCCAACCCTGCCTCGATGCCAGCCCCAAGCCCGTGGAGCCCGCTGTCCCCTCGCATGTCGGCGCCAGACAGAGGGACAGGGTCAGGTGGGGCCGAGTCCACAGAAGGCCCACTGTGCTCACCACCTCGGCAGTAGGGGCGCCGCCCGAGCCGGGCCTCTGACGTCCCTGGTTGGAGGGCAAGTGGCTCAGGCTCGCTCCCGAGGGTCCTGGCCAGTGGAAGGAGGGGCCCAGCGACAGGTGAGGAAATGCAGTCCTGGTCCCGGCGAGGACAGCGGCCGGCTCTTCCCATGACCCGGAGGGCCCTGTCGGAAGCAGCTTGAGGACCCGGAGTTCCCAGGATTCTCCTGCCAGCCTTCGTCTCTGCCTGCCCCTCTTGCCATAGTAGAGGGAAGGGTGGGAGGAGCACGTGGGTATTCATGAGGCCCCATGCCTGGAAGAAACCCAGACATCACATCGGGGTACTAATAGTGATGGCAAAACACACAAGTAGGCTCATGAGACAGACATCACCACACAGACACCGCCATACAGCCAGTATAGGCAAATAACCCACAACATCAGATCAGTAGTTCACATAGAGGAACATGAAACTGTTAACACACAGAGCAGAGGCACAGGAAACATGGGGGGGCACACACAGGTCACAGAGGAAATACACAGGAATCACACCTCAGCAGCATGCATGGACCAGTGACACACAGGAGAGGATACAGAGAGACTCACATAGCAACACAAATAAGTAGCAACACACGCAAGGGACATGTACAAGTGACAAAAGATGGTGATACATTCAGTAACATGGGTGGCATGGACACAGGTAACGTCACAACACACAGGAGAAGCGCACACTATAACACTGACACACCACACAAGTGACCCACCCAAGTGAGTGTACATGCAGGCTGCACACAAACGGGTGACACACAGAGGCAGCAAATTCAGGTAGCGTGTAGTCAGCACACATGAATAATACATGGGAAAACACCAAAAGAAATGCAGCCAAATGGTACACATATAGAGATCACACATGTACACACACACACACGCCAAGTAGCACAGGAGGGTGTGTGGTGGTCAGGTAACACAGATTTAACATACATCAGCATAAATGTAACAAAGCACGTACAAAGATAACGGACACCAGTGCACAGGAAGCACTCACAGGTAATATAGTCGCAGGCAGCACACACAGGCAGCACATCAAACACAAGGAAACAGCACACATATGGCACTCACAGGTGACACAGGATTATGCATGTAGGCCATACGTATGTACCACACATTGGCAGTCCCTAAGTCACACCCATGGGCAATTCACATGGGAACCAGACAGGTAAGGCACAGGCCACTCGCACAGGCAGCACACATGTAACACATACACGGGCTTACTCTGGACCCAGGCTCAGATACAGGACTGAAGAAGGACCATATATGAGCCCAGTGTTCCTTCTAACCTGAGGGCAGATGCTCTGGGAGAAGCATATTTGGAAGCTGGGACATGGGATAGAGAAGGTTAATCCATTTGGCTTTAGTGCTTGGTCCTGAGGGAGGGAGGAGGGCTTTGTTGAGCTGGTGTGACCCCTCCTTTACACAGCATGTCACATTCTAAATCATCATCCTTCGATCTTCCACAGTGAAGAACACCATGATGTTTAAATAAAATAACCCTCCTGAGTCGATTTCTTCTCCAGCTTCACAGGTGCAGTAAATACCTTGTAGTGAAGCCTTTATCTCTTAGATAAAAAAAGAGCTTATGCAGACGTTCCCCCTTGACTTGCTTCATAAATCTTCCCAAGTTACATCCTGCTGCCAAGTCCTCAACCTCCCTCCCATTACTGGAAGTGGGGCTTAATTGGGATGTCATAACTGCTGAGCTGTGATGTAGAGAAACCCTGAGATGGGATGCCTTAGGCAACTCCAGGAATCAGGATGGAGCTGGTGTTACAGGAGGGAGCACTTGTTTCCCACATCCATTCTGAAGAACTCAAAGAAAAGACGAAGCCCAGGACTCTCACAAGGCTGTTCCTGAAAAGGTGGATGGAAAGTGATGCCGCACCTTGACTTTCTATCTTGGGAGTCTTTCCTGTCCTTCACCTTTAAAGTGACTTGGGGATGCTCTCCCCGCTGCGGGTCCACACTTGTGAAGCTGTGGATAATTCATCAAGGTGGGGCTGTAGAAGAAGCTGTCCCTGGTTCGTGGTGTCTTCTGCCAGGACCCTGGGGGGAACACCCAACCAGAATGGGTGAGGATACAAAGACACCACGCTAAGCCAAGCTCGCTCCTCCTCTTTCCTTTACACTACGTGCACAGGGTGTCAGAACAAGAGGAAAGACTCAAAGTTCTGAGTGAAAATTCATTACATTTCAAAGTGTTTCAGTTTTCTGATGCTTTTCAGGGGCCAGAGTCCAGTCTGCAACTTGGACTCAAAGAACCATGACCTGTCCCTGGCAGAGACCATAGCCCGTGGTGCAGCACAGCCTTGGACTCTATCTAGTTCCTTAGGAAGTGAAAGACCCTTCCGCAATCTTCCCTGACTGTAACGTTGCAGCCATGATAGGACTGGCACCCCTCTTGCTTTGCACCCAGGCTTCAGATGCTTCCAAGGCTGCCCACCATAGGATGGCTTGGGAGCTAGCCTATCCCGTTGCAGTGTCTCTCTCCCAGAATGTTAACTGTCCCTAATGCTTTCAGTGGAGCAGAGAACTGAGAAAGGAGGTTCACCATGAGTTAGAAATGCAATAAGAACCTCAAAAGACATCAAAGTCTAATTTCAGCTTCCAAGAACAAAATGGGTTTCATGGAACAGCATTGCAATTACTTTGCATCATAAACGCCCAAACCCTTTTAGCCCCATCTCCACCTTCTCATTTCTTATGCATGATCTTAGTGCAGAGTGATACCTTAGTTTTAATTAAAAGCTCATAATGCACAAGTATATTTAGAAGGGAAAAGGACTCAGATCCCCTTTAAGGATAATTATATGCTTATTAAAGCCCATTTCCTACACCCCGCTGTGTGTTTAACTTGGCCCATGTGCTCAACATGGACCTTACTGGAGCTTTGCTGTTAGTTGCAGGTGTTGAAGTCCAGCAGTGAGCACCCTCCTGGTCAGGTGACCAAGAATATGGACCCCATCCACATCCCCAAGCCCACTACAGGCTGAAGGGGTGTCTACATGCCCCCGTGCTTCAGCCTTGAAGGCTAGCGAGGAAGGACGTATGGGATGGCATCTCCCAGCCTGCACACCAAGGCATCCCTCTGCCCTAGAATCTCTGGAATGTTGGATGATCTCTCTGAGTCACTTGAGCCCCAAGAGGAGATACAATATGGTATGTAAAGAAACTAGAGTTGGGTAGGGCCAGAGTCAGATCATGAGAACCTGTAGGCTACTGCATCTGTCAGGACCATTTCTGTCAGAGCAACGTCTGAGTAGTAGTTGGGCAACATTTTCTAAGTGAAGGAGCTGCCCCTGAATGGCCAGACCATTCTATTTTTCATTCATTCAACATGTATTTTCAGATGTGCTGGGTTGTGTTAATTGGTTTTGAAGACAGAAGCTGCAGTGACACAGACTCATCCCCTGCCCTCAAGTTCACAGTCTAGAGAAGGATACAGAAGAGGAATACCTACTCTAAAAACAGAATTGCCAACTATAATGAAAAATTACAGGGAGTTTTGGGAACATATAACGAGGCTTAAGGAGCTAACATTTGAAGGAAATGCAATCAAAGGATATGGCATTCCAGGGAGTGGGACCAACAGGTACAAAGGCCGAAAGTAGGAGGACGCAAACTCTTTAGGTGCAGAAGTTGTTGTCATAGCAAGAGCTGACACTGACAGGAGGCTCACTGTGTCTATAATTACTTTCCACTGCTTTAAATTAATCTCCCCATTTAATCCTCAGTCTAGCCTCAGGAGTAAAGACACCTTAATGAACCTAGTACAATCATGATTCCCATAGTGTAGAGGAGGATATTGAGGCAGGCACAGATAAGTAACTCACCTAAGGTTATACAGCTCATGAGTGGCAGTGCTAGAATTTGAACCAGGCCATCTGGCTCCGTGCTGAACTTCTTTAAGATCCCTCCAAGTGATCTGAACCCCAAGAGGATATGCAGCATGGTTTGCAAAGAAACTAGAGTTGGAGAGGGCCAGAGCCAGATCATGAGAACCTGTAGACCATCGCATCTGTCAGGATCCTTTCTGTCATAAGCAACAGCAAACCAAAACCAAGTCAGCATAAATAAGAAGAGACATTAATGGTGCACTTACCTGTAAAGTGTGGTGACCTCACGCCTGGCTTGATCCAAGTGCCCAGGTGACATCACCAGAGTCCAGTCTCTGCTGTCCTTCTCTATGCTAGCTTTATTCTCAGAGCAGCTCTCTCCAGTAACTCCAACCTTAACATCCCCCCGTTTATGATTCAAAAATCTCAAGAAAGGTCCACCACCTTTCCTCAACCATTCAAGCAGAAGACCAGGGTTTCTTCTGTTTGGATGGCAGAGTCCTTGCTTGAATTGCATGCTCATTCCTGAACCCATCACCACGGCCCAAATGGAAGCTCTGATTGATCCAGGCTAGGATGCACGACCCATTCCCTGGAGCCCAGAGAAAAGTCATATCTGGAGTCCTGGACTGGGGGAAAGGATCTGGCAGGGAATGTAGACCCAGATATGGAAGAAGAATGTGAAGACTGAATGTCCAACAAACAAATGTCACTCTTCAGGCCCATCCAGGACTTCGGCTATTGAGGAGAACTCAGCACCAAGAAGAGGGTATTTTCCAGGTTCTCTGTCAACCGAGACCATGGCTTTGAAGAGGAAAGAAGGATGGCCCAAGGGAGGCAGCAGCTCCAGAAGCAGGAGAGCTGTAGACTGCCCCCAGCATTCACCCATACCCCACCCACCTTGCACCCAGGCCTGGGTGGGACAGAAACCCACAGAGCCCAATAAGAAGGGGACTTTAAACTAGTGGCTCTCAAAGAGGCTGCCCACTGGAATAATCTGGGAAGCTTTGCAATGACTGGATCCTGGCTGGCCTCATTTTCACAGATCCTGATGTAACTGGGCTGGGACACAGTTTGGAAATCAGGATTGTTAAACCTCTCCAGGTGACTCTTATGTGCAGCCAAGACTATAATCTACAGCCTGAGTCATTCTCTACATGCACCAACAGCGTCTACTCCTCAAATGCCACCCAGGGATATCACTCTATTTTAATTCATCTCATTTCTATCCATTTGTTAAAAAAAAAAAATTAGTAGTTCACCCACTTAACTCTCTATTGTTAATTTTTCAAATTCTCCCTGGGGCTCCTTCATAGTAACTAGGGGAGAAACCAGTATCTGACCTGGGAGCTCCTTTTTCTCTCTGCCGTGCTGATTTGCTCAAGATGTTTCAGGTGATAGTGAGGCTGTGGTTGGTGTGAGGTCAGTCTTCACCTTTCTAAGTCTTGCCAGGAGAGGAAATGACTGGGAGAGAAGATGATCAATATCCTCTCAGGCAACCCTGAGTGGGGCTTGTGGGAGGCCCTCAGTGCATTTGGCATAACTGGTCTGAGCTGCCGCCTCCTCTTCTTTCCATCCATCTGTCCATCCACCCATCAATTTGCAAGAACCAGATGATGATGGACATTTCTCCAGAGGTCTGTGAGGGAGGGAGATGATGGGCCAGAAGCCAGATGCACCAGACCCATGCCTTCCCAGAGAAAAGATGGAATTGAGTGACAACCCAACCCACAGGGAAACTTATACATCGTACGCCCCATCACAAGTTACCTAGTCATGACCACCTGCACTGACTGGGGGCCTACTCTACGTAGGCCCTCCTCTGAGTAGAGTTGGTCCTATGTATCTGCAGGTTCTGCATCTACAGATTCAACCAACCTCAGATACAAAATGTAGTTAGGCCTACGATGGTTGCATCTGTACTTCATGTGTACAGACTTCCTTTTCCTTGCCATTACTCCCTAAACAATAAAGTATAACAACTTTTCTTTAAGAGACAGGATCTCACTATATTGCTCAGGCTGGTCTTAACCTTCTAGTCTCAAACTTCTGGTCTCCAGTGATCTTCCTACCCCAGCTTCCTGAACAGCTGGGATTACAGGCATGAGCCACTGCATACAGCCAGTATAACAACTATTTACATAGCATTTACATTGTCTTAGGCATTACAAGTAATCTAGAGATGATTTAAAGTAGAGATGGTCCCTGGCTTACAATGGTTCAACTTACGATTTTTTGACGTGATGATGGGTTTATTGGGATGTAACCCCATGGTAAATAGACAAGCACACGGACTTATGATAGTTTCACTTATAATTGTTCAACTTTACCATGGGTTTATCAGGGTATTAACTGCAGTTTTGACTAAATGAAATTTTCTACTTACAATGGGTTTATTAGGACATAGCCACATCATAAGTTGAAGAGCATCTGTATATGGGAGGATATGCATACACTGTCTGCAAATACTACACCATTTATATAAGGGACTTGAGCATCTGCAGATTTTTATGTCCACAGGGAGTCCTGGAACCAATCCCCTGCAGATTCCAAGGGACAATTGTACTCTCCCACAAAATTGAGCAGCACAAGATCAGGGGCTATGTCTGTCCTGAGTCACCATAGACTCCCCATCACCCGAATGAGCGTGGCCCAGAGCAGTTGACCAAAATAGACCCAATGAATGAGTGAATAAGTGACTGAGCCTATAGAATTGGAAGATAGGAAAAACATTTAACACAGTGCTGGCTAAGCTGTGGGCAGACGGGCATTGCCACTCCCTACTGTGCAGTGCTCACTGGTCTCTTCTTTCTGGAGTGTCAATGACAGTTTGCAACAGATATAACAAAGATTCTTTGGCCCTCTGATCCAGTTTCCATCCACAACATCTGATGTATGCAGATAGAAACATTTTTTTAAATCTACAACAGGAAACCATTTGGGAAAGCCTCCATTTTCAGCAACAGGGTATTGAATGAATAAAAACTCAGAAGTCATATGAGAAGATGCTCTGATCCACCCATTAGATTTACTCTCTGCAGTGAGGTGCCTAGAGAGCCATTTATTATTTAAAAACACCCTGGGTAATTCTGACTTTCACCTGAGGAAATCTTCATTGTCAAAGGAGGATGTTTAATGACTTGAAGACAAAGTCACGTATTATTTGAACAAAAACACAGGCTACAGCAAAGTGTGCATAAAGTGAGCCAAGTTTCATTCAAAAAACTTCACTCAAATATATTGTGTCACACACATACATGCTCACAACGATGATCTGAAAATCCCTGTGCCAAAATATCTCCAGTAGTTGCCTCTTAGTGATATAATCATAGATGTTTTTTTCCTCTTTTTGGCATATAGAGACTTCACATTTTTCTACAGTAAATATGTAACTTGTAATAAAATGTTATTTTTAAAAATAGCAGATGACCTTTCAAATACAGTGATTGGCAACAGGATACCACGGACTACACAGACCAACTGGGAAAAGACCAGCACCCAAAAGCTTGAGGTTATACCCCAATTACAACCATGGCAATTGAGGAGAATTGGAAGAAAATTTAAAGAAATAAATATAGTGGAAGTATGATGTTCATAAGCTGGTTATGAAATTGCTCAAGCACCTACTTTTTTAAATTAAAAATAATAAATTGTGCTGTCAGCATAAAGTTAAAACTTGATTCAGTTTAAAAAAAAAATGTGTGGGAGTGTTTGGCTCGGACAGCAGCAGCCATCTCTAAGCCAGGAAGACTGAACAGGCACAAGCAGAGAAGCCTGAGGATGCATCACAGAAGCCAGGCGAGGCCCAGGCCAGCTGACTGCAGGGCACTGAGTAATGAGGAAAGGACCAAAGAGAAGCCGGGGTGACAGTGCCCCCAGGCCCGGCCCTCCAGCCCAGGACTGCAGCTTCCCCATCAGTGTTTACAGCAAGCGCTTGTGCAGGAGCCAAAGGGAGGAACAGAAGGAGGTGCGGGAGAGTAAGCTCTTCCGACTACGGGCAGATGCGCTGTCTTGAAGAGTGCTTAGCATCTTCAAGTACAATTAGGGTTCCTGGGCCGCAGCCTCCAGTTTCTAACCTAGCATCGGAAGGGATAAATGAAGCTGATCATAAGCGAGCAACCTGATAACCCACCTGCCAGATTAGGAAAAGCAGGAATAGACTGCTAATGCATCTGCTGGTCCATGCTGGGCCTTTAATACGTAACCCCCACTGATACCCCAGCTTCCTGTCTTACAGGTGCAAGAAGACTGCTGTGAAGTGAAGCTTACAGGGGCAGCCAGGTGAGGAGAAGTAATATATTACCTGTCACTTGCAACTGAAGAGTAATGGGGCGGCCTCCAGGACTCAGTCATTGCAGAGCCCTCACTCCCCATCAGGCACGTCTACGTTAGAATCCTCTTTGCTGATTGCTTTTTTCTGGATACTGCCCTTGCAGGCAGGGCTGGACAGAAAATGTCCTGGGTAGGACGGATGAGGACGCCTGGGCTGGGACTGCAGAAAGCAGGTGAGTTTTAAGCCCCTGCTGCTCCAGGTGTGGCACTGGGACATGCAGCACAGGATCCCCTGGGAGCCTGTCAGAAATGCAGAGTCCCAGGCCTAGCAGTCAGCATCAGGTGGGTCATGAGCACCCTGCTCTGAGGAGCCCAGGGCTGAGCCACAGCCAGGAGGGAAGCTGCTTTCTCCAGTAGCAGCACCACACAGAGGGCCAGGAAATGCATGTGCTATGGCCATGTTGGTTAAGGTGAGATCAGCTGTGAGCCACTGAAAACCACCAACACAGGAGCTTAAACAAGACAGGAGTTTCCTTCTCTCTCATGAAACAGTATAGAGAAATGCAGTCCTGAGCTGGCGTCATTGTTCACCTTCACAAAGGAGGGGGAATCCTCCATCCTGCTTCCCACGCGTCCTCAATATTTGATCCTCCTCACGTTCCATGATGGCTGCTTGAGCTCCAGTCCCCGCACTCCATCAGCCTGGGACAGGGAGGCCACCATCCTTATCTGACTCTACTCTCCCACCTTCTCCAGTCACCTCCACACCTGGGCACAGCTTCACACAAAGCCCGGCAGCCATGGCCTGCATCCTGGGACGAGCCCTGGAAAAGCCTAAGTAATTCTCCCATGGAGCCCAGCAGGAGGATCTGTGTGCCGTGTCCCCCACCCCACATGGAAAGAGCCTGAGCGGCATCCATCTACAGGACCCACCAGGGAGGAAAGAGAGAAAGTCACTTCACTTAGGAAACGTCTCTCAAAACCCAGGAGATCTGCAGGACTGGGAGTAGAACAGAGGGAAGGTGCTGTTTGCAATCTCACAGACAATCACAGCTTGTTAACCTAATAGAAGCAGAGGAGTTGCCTGCATATCCAATTATGTGAGCAGGCTGGCCAGGAGTCAGGCCATTATCTCACTCATCTGGACGGACTCCATTACGCCATTGCTCTTTCTTGATTAAATCTTCTCTAACGATGTCTGTCCAGGGAGGGAGAGAATAATTGCATCTGGTGGAGGAGATGTGAGGGTGGCAGGTGGTGTCCCCAAGGACCAGCACCTCGTAGCCTCTCCCCCAGCCCTGGGGCCTTGAGTTGGTTTCACCCCTAACCTCTGCCCTTGACCACAGTGAGGAGCATTGTTCCTGCTAATGGTCACTCCAGCCTGTGGCTCCTCTTTGATTCTGTCTTCTTCATTCTCTCAGAAACATTTTACACAGCTGACTAGTTCTTCCACCTTGTAAATGAACTATCGATTGTTTTCTCTGGTACTGCATTCTCAATTTTCCTCCTGCCTCTGTGACTTTTTATCTGTCTCTATTATTGTCTTGTCTCCGCCTCATGACACCTAAATGTAGATATTCCCCAAGGCTCGATTATCAGCCACCCTCTCTTTGGAAACTCTCACTTGGGACTCCATCTCCCCAATTTGAAAAATTTCCTTCCCTGCATCTCCAGTTCGACTCTCTCCCCACACTCTGTCTCCTCTGAAGTCCTACCGTGTGACATCCCTGGCATGAGCAGGGCGTATCCAGTCATCCGACACTCCAACACCCAGGTCCACATCGTCTCATGATCCACAACTAAGGTTTAGGAGTGTCTTGGATCTGACCACGGGAGAATTTACTACCCAGCACCAGCAGCCCCCTTAACTTCTGCAGCACAGACGTGGACTCTTGATCGACAAGAGGCCATGGAACAAACAACTAGTCTGATGGTCATTGACAAATTGGATGTCATTGATGGCACTTGATGGCACCAAGAGCTAGAATTCTTCAAGTCTCAACTTCCTGAAAAGCAGGGCTGTCTCCTTCCATTGAGCACTGTTCTCTCATAAGAGACATTGGGAAACACTGCCTAAAGGTCCACCCTAGGGACTCACAAGCATCTGAAACCCCATGGGGAGGAGGTGTGATTGAGACGGGCAGCAGACTGAAGTCTCTCGCCCTTCTTAGCTGGGTGGCCACTTAGTAAATGCAAAAGATCAGCCCCCAATACCAAGGCATCCAAGCATTTCACATGCAAAAAAACAAGTATCTAAGGTTGAAATGTGTCATGCATCCCCTGGAGGTGCCCTGATCTCCACAAAGAGCCATTTGGAACATCTTGGCACAGTTAATTACTCCCTCTTACCGGGAAGGGTTAATGCATGTCCCACTGAGATATGTCAGCTTTGGTAGGAGATCTCTTGCAGCTAAGAAGGAATCGTGATACAGAACTTTAGAAACTAAGCAGACCATCAAATCAGTTCTTTGTTACATGGCCTCTCACTCAGTCAGGGGAGTCCACATCTGTGCATGCTGGAGAAATTAATAGGGCTGCTAGTGCTGGATGATGGGGCATAAATTCCCCCAATGGTTAGTATTGATGGCTATGGCCTCTTTCCAAAGAAATAAGCTCTCAGAATTACACACAGTGGCTGAAGCCATTTTTAGCAGGTGGAGGCCATATATCACAGTCACAGAGATTTGTTTCCTTAGACCTTAACAATTATTTGCTCATTCTGATGGTCAGTCCCTCACTGAGAGCAAAGATAAAATGGTTTCCAGGAGGACGGACACAAACCCTGTCTCCCATGCCCCCATCAGTGCTGCCTACCTGCTCACTGACAGGATTTGAGGAGAGTCCAAAGGTTCCACTTATCACAGAAGATGAAAATGCAGAATCTCAGAGTGCCCAGTTCCATTTCTCTAAAGAGTACAGGATGTTGTCAGGATACACTGATCCTTCCAAGCACTATTTAGTGTGAAGAAATCTCCTAGGGCTTATTATAGCAGAGTCTTAAATGTCAGCATGCGTGGGAGTCACCCAGAGGGTTTGTTAAAACATAGATTGCTGGGTTCTGCCCCCAGAGTGTCTGAGCAGGTCTGGGAGGCAGGACTGACCATTTGTATTTCTACCAAGTTTCCAGGTGATGCTGATGCTGCTGGCCCAGGAACCCCACTTTGAGAACCACTGGATTTAATGGGAAAGGAGCAATATTGCCAGATGGCACAGGACCCAGTGCTATGCTCCTCCTGAAGAACTATTATCCAAAGGCAGGCCCTGTAGGGCTGGCTGCTGACCTGAGGGATTTGTGAGAGTCCACCCAGGGTTCTTGGGAGATGTGGCCCCAGTTAACCTGGAGTCAGAGGTGGCTCTGGCAAGCATCCCCCTCCCACCTGCCCTTTTCACAGGCCCACACTCAGGGTCTTAGCAGTCGGAAGCCTGTGGTGAGAGTCGCTAAGTCATCATCGGCTTTCCTTAGGGCTGTGTGGCAAAATCCCCACATGTCAGTTCGAGGCCATGCCCTGCAAGTCAGTTCCTCAGAGAAGCCCTCCCTCTGACACAGGCAGAGGATGAAAAAGAAGCTAACAAAATGTAGAAGCTGGCAGTGGAGTAGAGGGCATGGGCAGGGGAACAAACCCTTCCAAACCCCACTTCCCACACACGTGGCCATTCCCACTCTGCACACTGTCTCCCTCAGCGTGGGTGGAAGTATCTCTGGGCCATATGCTCAGGGAAGCACTGATCGTCAAATTAGCCCTGCTCTTGCTCTAATTAAGACTCCCATCTGTTTCACTCATTAACCACCGCTGGCCTGTTCCTGCTTCTGGGGTTTCATTCCATGTTTTAAAGGAGTCGACTGCCTCTCTTCAGCCAAAATCACAAAGGGTCCAGGTCGTAAATCAGGTGGGGCTCGAGGGCAGCCCCTCCCAAGTTCTGAGTCACTGTAGTCACACTTCTGTTCAGGCCCCTTGGGGTCCCCGCCCACCACACAGCCACCTGATCAGCCCCATCTACTCCCTGTCACTCACGGATTCTCTCCTCTCCTCAGTGGGGTCTTCCTCCTGCCCACAGGTGAGCTCAAGGCTTGATCCTTCACAGCCCATCACACCTGGTGTGTGCCTCAGTTTACCCCTCATCACCTGGCCCAATGACTGAGACTCTGTCTCCCTCATAGACTGCAGGTTTCCTAAAGGCTGGAACTTGGTCTTTTTGTCTCTGTAACCCCGAAGTGCATCCCAGCACCAGGACTCAGCAGCCCTCAGGAAAGGAACATTGAGTGAATGAGTGAATGGTGAACAAATGGACGGACGTGTAAAACTGCTGCACATGGATCGGGCACCTCCCCGGAGGAGGTGAGACGCGGCCATGAGCTTCCTTGTCAAGAAACCAAGAGCCTGGCACTGACAGCTCCTGGCAACGGGTGCCTATAAAACCCAGAACTGTTCCAGCACTTCAGAGCTCAGAGAAACTGCAGCCAGCTTTTTCTCATAATGCTAATGCAATAAAAACAAAACACCTGTTTCTGGGAAACAAAAATATCATGCATTATTCAGCTACAATCTTTAGATCCCGGGAAACCATATTTGAAAGGATCAATCACTGAGAAACAGGCACCAAAATGTGCTACTTTTAAAGTGATGGTCTTAAAATGATGTTTCTTAAAATGAACAACAAAAGATCTTGGGGGAACAGGCCTAGCTGAAGCTCTCTGATGACTCTCAACATAGGCAGAGCCGTCAGTGTCCCTGGTCAAACACAGAAGGAGAGAGGTCCCTGGATCTGGAGGAGGCTCTGGGCAGGGGAGATCGTAGCTAAGATGCACTTTCCTCTCTGATGCCATGACCCCTTCTGTTTCCCCAAGGCCAGCCCTGGTCTGGGGGGCTCTGGCCCTCCCACATCCACCTGCTCATGGGTGCGCTTCCGTGGGGCTCTCACCCTCACTCCCCCACCCCCAGGATCCCAGATCCCACTCCTAAAACCCGAACATTCTCTGCTTCTTTCTCGGGAGTCTGGAATCATGATCAGTTAGTCCAGACTTTTTTTGAAAATGCCAAATTCAAAGCCAGGCCATAGGGCGCGAGGGAGGATCCCTCTCATCATCCTCTGAATCCTGGGCACGAAGAAAACCAGGAGACAGACTCAGAAAGGGCCAAGTGAGTTTCCTAAAAATGCTACAATTGCTCACTTCCTGGCTAGCTCTGATGCCTGCAAGCTCTTCACCATCCTCAGGAGGTGAGCGTCATGCAAATGATACCAATTTCCCACCCCGTGTCCTGTCTCTGAATAGACAGGAAGTACATGAGGTCAGTAGCATTTGACACACACAGAGGAAGGTGCTGCCGAGAGAGACCCGGGACAAGCAAGAGGAAAGAACAGACTCAGGGGAAGACTGTGAGGGCGGTATGTGGCAGAGCCGCCCACCAGCACCCAGACCGCCTCCTAGGCCCTGTGCACGTGGAGACTGAATGAGGACTTCTCAGAGTCTGCAGAAAGTGAGACCGTCACCCCAGGCTGGGCTGAGCAGCCCATGGGTCGCTGCAACCCTCACACTGCACCTCACTATTCCCTAAAGGGCCCTGCAGGACTGGCCCTATCCCTTCTCTGGCCACATCTGTGTCAGGGATTCCAGGACCATCCCCAGGTTCAGAGACTCCCAGGACTCAGGCTGCAATTTATTACAGTGAAAGGACAAGCCGCAAAAACAGTAAAGAGAAAGGCACAAGGGGAACCAGGCACAAGCTCCCAGAGTCCCCTCCCTGAGGAGTCTCACAGCGCGTTTAATTCCCCAGTGACGAGATGTGACAACACCTGGGAGAGCTGTCTATGAGGGACACTCACTAGAGACTCGGCGCCCAGGGTTCACTGGGGTCTGGTCATGTCAGCACCTGTGCCTGGCACAGTACAGAATCCCAGCCTCTCAGAAGGAAAGCAGGGCCTCAGCATAAACCCTATTGTTTGCACGCGCAGCCTGGCCAAGGTCAGCCCCTCTTACCATTCGGTGAATCAGTGTGGGGGCCTCTTTATCAGCAAAGCTCCCAGGTCCCAGCTGAGGACCAACCTTGCCAGCAGGCCTCTGCAGGGAGGGCGTCTTTGGCCTTCACAGTTAATTACTTCGGCACAAGTACCACCTCTGTTCCGCCCACGCTCACTGTCCCCAGCCACATGAGCTCCCACCAGCACCTTGACCTCCTGCAGGCTCAGCCTGGCACCGCTCTCACCTCCATCCATGCACAGCTGGCTCCTTGTTGGCATCCAGGGCTCAGATCAATGTCACCTCCCCATAGCCACCCCCTCCCCACAACCACCCAGTCTACAGTAGCCTGCGTCCTGCTTACCACCACACAGCAGTGTTAGGCCCTCCCCACACTGTTCTCAAATGTTCTCATTTGTTTATTACCTGTCCTTGCTGGGATGCCAGTTCCCAGAGAACAGGAGCCTGGTCTATACCCTCAGATCCTTACCAGGGAACAGGAGGCTGGTCTGTACCCTCAGATCCTAACCAGGGAACAGGAGTCTGGTCTACAGCCTCAGATCCTAACCAGGGAACAGGAGCCTGATGTGTACCCTCAGATCCTAACCGGGGAACAGGAGCCTGGTCTGCACCCTCAGATCCTAACCAGAGAACAGGACTCTGGTCTACACCCTCAGATCCTAACCAGGGAACAGGAGCCTGGTCTGCACCCTCAGATCCTAACCGGGGAACAGGACTCTGGTCTGTACCCTCAGATCCTAACCGGGGAACAGGAGTCTGGTCTGTACCCTCAGATCCTAACCGGGGAACAGGACTCTGGTCTGCACCCTCAGATCCTAACCGGGGAACAGGAGCCTGGTCTCTACCCTCAGATCCTAACCGGGGAACAGGAGCCTGGTCTGCACCCTCAGATCCTAACTGGGTAACAGGAGCCTGGTCTGCACCCTCAGATCCTAACCAGGGAACAGGAGCCTGATATGTACCCTCAGATCCTAACCGGGGAACAGGAGCCTGGTCTGCACCCTCAGATCCTAACCAGAGAACAGGAGCCTGATATGTACCCTCAGATCCTAACTGGGTAACAGGAGCCTGGTCTGCACCCTCAGATCCTAACCAGGGAACAGGAGCCTGATATGTACCCTCAGATCCTAACCGGGGAACAGGAGCCTGGTCTACACCCTCAGATCCTAACTGGGGAACAGGAGCCTGGTCTCTACCCTCAGATCCTAACCGGGGAACAGGGGTCTGGTCTGTACCCTCAGATCCTAACCAGGGAACAGGAGTCTGGTCTGTACCCTCAGATCCTAACTGGGAAAAAGGAGCCTGGTCTGTACCCTCAGATCCTAACCGGGGAACAGGGGTCTGGTCTGTACCCTCAGATCCTAACCGGGGAACAGGGGTCTGGTCTGTACCCTCAGATCCTAACCAGGGAACAGGAGTCTGGTCTGTACCCTCAGATCCTAACCAGCGTGTGCACATGATGAATGCACGTGTGATGGTTACTACTTAGTATCAACCTGGTCGGATTGAAGGATACAAAGTATTGATCCTGGGTGTGTCTGTGAAGGTGTCGCCAAAGGAGATTCACATTTGAGTCAGTGGACTGGGAAAGGCAGACCCACCCTCAATCTGGGTGGGCACCATCTCATCAGCTGCCAGCTTGACTCGAATATAAGCAGGCAGAAGAATGTGAAAAGAGAGACCAGCCTAGCCGCCCAGCCTACACCTTTCTCCCGTGCTGGATGCTCCCTGCCCTCAAACATTGGACTCCAAGTTCTTTAGTTTGAGAACTCAGACTGGTTCTCCTTGCTCCTCAGCCTGCAGATGGTCTATTGTAGGACCTTGTGATTGTGTCAGTTAATATTTAATAAGCTCCCCTTTATATATATATATATATATATACATACACACACACACACACACACATATATATACACACACGTGCGTGTGTGTGTGTGTATTCCATTAATTCTGTCCCTCTAGAGAACCCTAATACAGCACATAAGAAAAGGGTGTTAATGGATACCTGAGTGAATGAAATGAAATTAAAAGTGCTCTGGGAACTGAGACGTTAATACACTCCTGTGTTGGGATTGTTCTCTGAGGACCTGGCTGTAGCATTCACAGCAAGGTGAGGCATCCCAGGGCCATGCTGCCTCTGGCCTCACTTCCTGCTCCTCTGCCCCTCACTCTGCACAGCCAGCATCTGGGGCCCTGACTGCCCCCCTCCCTACAAGCTTCATCTGCCCAAGGTCCACGCCCTAGCGGTCCACGGGGCTAATGTGTGCCTTTATGTTTGCTCAGATACCACCTCAGCAAGGCCTTGCCTGACCAGATAATTTAAATGGAACTTCCTCAGCCCTGACGGCCTCATCCACCCCTGAACAGAGCCATGGCTGTATTCATCCAAGGCACGTTCAGACTTCTAACAGTTTCAATACTTATTTATGATGGGCATCATTTGTCTACCATCCCTGACTAGAATGAAAGCTCAAATAAAGCCGTGACTTTAACAAATCCCCAGTGAGTCTTCCATAAATATTTGCTAAGTTGGTGAATGACTCTTCGGAGGCAGGGCCACACACACACGTCCTATCTCACAGAGTACTGAGAGGATTAACCGAGACGACGGTAGATCAAAGGCTTAGCTCAGTGCCTGCCAAGGGTGTTCTGCACACCTGCCACCCATTACCTACATTAGCTGACACTGAGCACCCCAGGAGTTCCGAGTGACCTTGTACAAACAAGGTCTGAACTGGACCTGAGGAGCAGGTGGGCACTGATGGCAGAGAGGGAGGGAGCAGCAGGTTAGAGACAGGTGGTACACAGGTGCAGGGTGGACACACAGGTGTGTCTCTCTGGGGACAGTGAAAGTAGTGGTCTCAAGGGTGCCAGGGTTTAGAAAGGAGAGAGACTTTGCTGGAGACAAGAGCTGGGGACTGACTTCTGGTTCCAAAATGGTGACACAGAGCCAGGTCCAATGGCTCATACCTGTAATCCCAGCTACTTGGGAGGCTGAAGCGGGAGAATTGCTTGAACCCAGGAGGTGGAGGCTGCAGTGAGATCATGCCACTGCACTCCAGGCTGGGTGACAGAGTGAGACTCTGTCTCCATTTTTTTTTTTAAATGGTGACATAGAAGCAAGCTGGCTTCACTATCCCCCATCCCCACCCACTGCCACAGAAAACTAAAAACAAACATACAGGGCCAAGATGATCCCCAGCAATATCCTAGAACTCAAATGTGAGGATGGGCCACTTCCCAGGGCCACAGAGAAGTGACAAAACTCTGAGAAGATGGTAAGAGAATCAAATTTTCATATTCATGATGCCCCTGCCTTCCATGGCCCAGCACCAAGCACATGAAAAATTCCTGTCTCAGTTTCTACACTGGAAAAAGTGAACTTGAGGTGGGTAATTACCTTCCCCCCGATTTTAGAGTCCCTGGCAGAAAACTTGTCTCTGTCTCAGCCCATGGAAGCATTGAGAGAATGCCTGAAGGGAGAAATATTCCTGAGGACAGCCAGAGACAAAGCATGGAGGTGGGACTACCATCCCAGCCCCGGAAACTCTGCTCTGTAACTCATCAAAG